ATTTGGAAAAGACCTAACAGTTTAGGCAAATAGCAAAAGAAATGAAAAAAGAATGTTTTCTGATCTTTCTTATCAGAAACAAGCTTTTCCTCTGGTCCTTGGCCTGAGCAGCCCTAAAAAGGAGTGTGATCCTGTTGATTTCTCAAGCTGATCAAGGATATTTTAATCACCTTTGTATATTAACTAATCCATGGGGAAATTGTGACAAATATTTTTCAGGTATTTAGATTAACACATCAAAATAACACGAAGCATTTTAAATGTGTTCATTAACTGTGTTTCTACGGAGGAAGATGGTACATAAGGCATTGGTAATGTCAGGGTCATTTACATTATCAATTAAAAATAGTGTTGCCAGGTGTGGTGGCACATTCCTATAATCTCAGCTATTCAGGAGGCTGAGATGGGAGGATTGCTTGAGGCCAGGAGTTTGAGAACAGCCTGGACAACATAGTGAGACCCTCATCTCTACAAAAATGAAAAAAAAAAAAAAAAGAAGGAATTAGCTGGGTATGGTGATGCATGCCCATACACCTAGCTACTTGGGAGGCTGAGGCAAGAGGATCGCTTGAGCCCAGGAGTTCAAGGCTGCAGTGAGCTACAATTGTGCCACTGCACTCCAGCCTGGGTGACAGAGCAAGACCCCATCTCTAAAAAAAAAAATCCAATATCTGCTCCTGCATTCATTCAGTACATACCATGGAGCTCCTACTATGTTCCAGGCACTGTTTCAGGCTCTAAAAATACAGTGGTGAACACAAAGTCACTGAACTAAAGGAATTTATGTTCTAAAAAGATGAAACATTCAAAGTCCATTCATTCAACAAATATTTATTGAGTGCCTATTATATGCTGAACACTATTTTAGACTCTTGGGGCCCACCGGTGAACAAAACAAGCAAACTCCTTGTCCTCATAGACCTTACATTTTAGTAGGAAGAGAGAGACAATAACCATTAACATAATAAATAACTACACAGTATGTTAGAGCAGATGCCCCCAACCTCTTTGGCACCAGGGATCAGTTTCATGGAAGACAATTTTCATGGAAGACTGATTTTCAGAAGCAAGTCACTAATCGCAAGATTGCCATTGATTGATTAAAACAGATTCTAGTGGTTACTTGTCACTATGACCAAAGAACAATCAGTTTTCTCTTTTGTTCAACTTGGAATGAAGGAACTTGTCACTCTTCACCTCGCAAAACCACTGTAGAGTCTTCGTCTTTTCCTCCAAGGGAAATGGAGAGTTTTGAGGAGTTAGGAGGAATTAGGAGGAGTTTTGAGCAGAGGAGAGACAGAAGCTGATTTATATTTTCCCTGGATGCTGTGGCCAGGTCTGAGGGACAGTAGGGAGACAAGGCACTGCAGTCATCCTGATGAGGGGAGATGTGACTTGGGCCCTGGTGGTAGTAGTGGGGGTGATGAGAAGTGTTCCCCTTTTGGATATATGTATTTATGGTCAGCAAGATAATCCAATTAGGCTAAGTGCATTGGAGTAAGCATAATATTATTTACTTTTACAGAGAAATTACAGCTGGATGGCTGTGATAGAGAGTCACTGGGTGGGGCTACTTTAGAAGGAGGGTCAGGGAGATCCTTTGAAGAGGCAAGATTACAAAGGTGAAAGGAGCCAACGAAGACTTTCAGACTTTCAGGCGAGAGTCTGGTGTGTGCGTGGGGCAGTGCGCAGGCCAGAGGGCCTAGAAGGTGGTGAGGTGGCGGTTGGGGAGAGCCACAAGCCAGGGTGGGAGAAGAAAGCAGAAGCCAGATCCTTCCAGGCCTTGATGCAGAGACTGGATCGAGAAGAAAGGGGCAAGAGTAGAATCAGGAAGGTGGAAATGGGGACAATACTATAATGCACACTGTCCTTGTGGGAATTTTTATGAGGCCTCATTGAAGCAGTAAAGTAAAATCCAGCTATGAAGTCTTCATTGTGCCAGGGATTCTGTTCCATTGTTTGCTGAATTATGACTCCAATATAAACGGTGATGCAAACTCAGGGGCAGCTGTGGTGTACGGAGTCAGAACAAAGACACACAATCACCTATCTTCTGACCTGGAATGCAAAGACCAGGTTAGCTGCAGTGTTTTTTCCAAGACTAAATGGTGATCCTGGCCTCTCTCTTTCACCATGTGATCATGAAAAATACTGAACGTTGATTGGGGGTTTCCTGAATATCCATCTAGAAGGCACAGAGAACACAGCTTTTCGAGACAGGATGGCCTGGGACTCAACTGCAGAGAGGCAGTGTGGGCTGGGCCCTCTCTCTCAAGGGTAAGGGAGTGCTTTATTCACCTCTGTAGCCCTGGGGCTCCTAGCACAGTGCCTGGTAAACAGTCCCAGCTAAATCACTTTTTTGTTGAATTTGGATTACACATGTAGATTAGATCCACGGTACTGAATTGATATAATGTTAACTCAAAGTAATCATCTGTGCATCTTTTGGTTCACCATCTAGGGTATGGATGACAATCATACTTCTCCCAATTCCATTACTTCTGTCTTTATATTTCCCGCCTTTGAGCACATCATTTCACTCCTAGAACTCCACTTTATGGATAAACATAGAAAAAGTGAGGAATTAAACTCAGACCAATTTTACTCCTTTTTAGCAAAAGTTCTCAAAAGTGTAATGGAGATTGCAGTTCATGTCATAAAAAGATCTTAGGGCCGGGCGCTGTGGCTCACGCCTGTAATCCTAGCTCTTGGGAGGCCGAGGCAGGCGGATTGCTCAAGGTCAGGAGTTCAAAACCAGCCTGAGCAAGAGCGAGACCCCGTCTCTACTATAAATAGAAAGAAATTAATTGGCCAACTGATATATATATAAAAAATTAGCCGGGCATGGTGGCGCATGCCTGTAGTCCCAGCTACCCGGGAGGCTGAGGCAGAAGGATCACTGGAGCCCAGGAGTTTGAGGTTGCTGTGAGCTAGGCTGACACCACGGCACTCACTCTAGCCTGGACAACAAAGCGAGACTCTGTCTCAAAAAAAAAAAAAAAAAAAAAGATCTTAGGTTAGGATAAGTCAACTTTTTCCAGGGCTTTCTATGTGTATGTTAATTCCAAACAACCCCGAGAAGTGGCTAGTATTACCCCCATTATAAAGGTGGGGAAATCATAGAGAGGTATAGAAATTTGGCCAAAGTCACAAGCCAGTAAGAAGGGGAGCCGGAATTCAGATCGGGTTGTCTGATTCTACAGTGCTATTGCTATTAATACTCATCTTGCCACAATTTGGGGCTTTCATTTGTCCTTGCTTCCTTCCTTGTCCCGGAAATATTTAGGTGTGCTGAGAAACAGTGGGAGCTCTGTCAATAAAACCTCTCTCCCTATTTTCAATGACCAAAGCTGGAAAGTTTAATGTGGCGCCAGGCCACTTGCTTCGTGGAAGCAGGGGGAACTCTGCGACTCCCAACCCAGCTGCGCTAATCCCGCGTGCTCCGCAGCGAGTGGCGTTTGGGTCACCGCCCATCTGGGATGGTCGCAGCCCAGGGAAGCTCGACCCGGACTGCAGTCAGGGAAAGACAGCGAAGAAAGGGCCATGGATTCTTGCAGCCGAAATGTCATCTGCTTGGGGAAAGCCACCCCGATGGGGGCGGAGGTGGGTAGAAAATGCAGCAACTTAAGAAGTTCGGGGCGAAGGCTGGCTAGACTGAGCAACCTCTTAAAGCTGAAGAGGGGAGGTAATGTACCCTCAGATGAAATCTGAAAGACTAACCCCCGAGAGCTCGGGGACCCAGCCAGAGGGAGCGCTGTGCACCTGGCAACGTTAACAGGGACAAAAGGGAATCCCGTCGTGCCGACCACGTTCCAGGAGGTGCCCGCTGTTCAGACCCCGCGGTAGCCGGGGTGTCGCCGGAGCGGCAGCCTCTGCCCTTGGTTTCCCCTTCTGAGAATCTGGGCGCGGGCAGGCTGCACCCAGGCGGGTGACACCATTCCCCGTGGGGAGGCGGGGATTCGAAAGAGAGGGAGGCCTGAGAAACCAAACGCTTCGCACAGGCCCAGGCCAGCGCCGCGGGGCCTTGGGAGGAAAGCCCGTGTGGCCCTGGCAGCGAGCCGGCCGGTCCCTAGAAGCCCCCGCGGAGCTGGGAGCTGCCGCCGGCCCGCGGTGCAGCGCTCTGCTCCGCTGGGCCGCCCGCTCGGCGCGCGGGGCGGGGCCGGGGGCGGGGCGCGTCCGGGGCGGGCGGCGGCGCGCGGGCGGCGCGGAGGGAAGGAGGCGCGCTGAGGGAAGCGGCCCGCGGCGGAGGGAGGGGAAGCCGAGTCCTGGAAGCGGAGCTCCGCGCTGGGACTGGTTCCTTCGCAGCCATTTTCTGTCCAACCAAACAGCCGATTGGAGACGGGAGCCAACCAGGGCTGCATTGGAGGTTTGTGTCTCGCTTCGGCCAATGATCGCTCCTAAACCGACTCCACTTTAGCTCGAATGAAATGTCCGTCTCCTCCCGGCGCCGTCCCCGCCGCCAACGCCGCCGCGGCCGGGGGCACTCGCCTCCCTCCCGCCCGCCCGGCCTCTCGCCCGGGCCGGGCGCGCGCCCGCGAGGCCGCTCCTGCTGCGGGCCGGCCGGCCGGGCAGCGGGCGCGGGCCGCGGCGCGGCTCTTTGTGCGCCGGGCCGAGGAGCGGCGGGACGCGGGCCAGGCCGCCTCCCGCCCGCCGCCGCCGTTGAGCTCCGGGCCCGCGGACGAGGAGGGGCTGCGGGCACGGTCGGAGCCCCCTCTCGGCGGCACCCGGGCCGGCTCCATTTTGTGCGGGGAGCCGGCCGCGGGGCGGGGGACGCGGGCCGGGCCTCTGGCCCCCGGCCCCGGCCGTGTGCCCTCGGCCTCGGCCGCCGCGCGGTCCCGGGGTGCCCCCTCCCGCGGGGCCGTGCCGGGCCCGGCCGCTTTGTCTGCCCGCGCACCCCGGGCGGGAGGCGGGCGTTGGACGCGGGGCCGCGGTCGGCCCGCCGAGCCGGGGGATGCGCGCCAGGGGCGTCCGCCCCGCACTCGGGGCACTGACAGGTCGGCCGGACGCGGCCGTGGGGCCGGGGCCACCCGGGCACCTGCGTGGGGAGGAAGCGAGGTCCCGGGGAGGAAGGAATGGCTCGGTTTCCCCGCAGCCCGGTTTACGCGTAAAGAATGCAGCCATCTGGCGGCTTGCGGTCCCCGGACTTGCCCCGAAGGTGTGGGAAGGAAGCCTTTCGGATTGGACTGAGGTTTTAATCATCGGTGGTGGGAGGCGGGAGGATATGCAGGGCCTTAGGAACGGTAGTCTCCGAGAACAAAGAATTATAGAGCACCCACAAATCGTAATCTCGCCCAGAGTGCTCTAACAAGGTAATTTAAACAAGGTTAGGTGGCATGCGACCTTTTAAAAAAATGGCATCCCACTAATCCGCATGGACTCCGTAGTTCCGTGGTTCATGCCACAAATCACTGGGGTGGCTTGGGCTCTCCTAGTATGGAAACTAAGCAACATAAAGTCATGAGGTGCACTGATCAATGTCAGTGGCATTAACACATAGGGATTTTATTTGTAAAGTATTGAAAGTTTAACCAAAATTCCTTAAAAGGCAATTATTCCTTCCCTGCACTGCTCTTGTAGCTTAAATTAAGAATTGCTGTACATTGATGCAAAACTCTGGTTGTTGATGCCAAAGAATGGAGAGTGGAGGAAGGGACTACTGCTTTTCTTGGATACAAATTTGCATTTCTTCAAACATTAAACAGATGTATGCATTCCCTTGAGCTTTTACATATATCATAACCTGCCCGTAAGAAAATATATGCCATATGAGGAGATAGTGTATTTCTTTAATGTACTGAATCTAAATATATACCGAATCAACTATTTGGGTGACTGAATGTGGTGTGGTGTGATTCCTCTGCACCCCCTTCCAAGTGAAATACATAAATATATATAGCTTCTATATTTTAAGTGTTCTGAGGGCTTTTTTTTCCCTAAAGACACCCTCAAAAAAATAACATTTCTAGCTATAAGGAAGGACTTTTCTGGGCAATTTTGGAGTTAGAGGACACTATTTAAAAAGGAATTAGAAATTACTTTTAATATTGTAGCAGATGTCAAGCAGTCTTTGCTGCCTGGACCTTTTTAATAGCGTTTTAAAAATTCAATTCAGTGGCTACAATTTTTTCTGCTACTTACTGGATTTCATGCTTGAATGCATATCAGTATTTCTTCTCCCTTTAAAATTAATACTGAAAGGATGTGTTTTTGTTTTGTCCTTTCCTCCTCAACCCCCCATTTAATTGTTTCATTTGAAAAAAGGAAAAGAGCAAATGAGAAATGAAGGTTGTAACATTGCAATTGATACTAATTTATTCAGCTATTTATGCCTTACAGTGAGACTGAAGTGCTATTCAGATGTGATTTTAGTCCAAAACGGTGGTGCTTCAAAATTAAAAATAAGAGTCTTGATTGTGTTGGGGGTTTTTAAATGTTTTCTGGGCAGACTCTTATCTTCTTTCCAGTATAATCTGAGATACTTAATTTAAAAGCATTATATTGTGAGATAAATATTTCCCCCTTTTGAGCTATAGAGTGCCTAAATCTCACTCTGAAACAGTAAGAAAAGCATTGCCAAAGCAGTTGATAGTGGTGTGTTAATACTTTAAGTAATTTAGATGTGTAATTGTCAGTCTCTTGCATATTACATTCTTTGGCCCCTCTTTGGATTTGGTATATTGTGAGAAATATTTAGTCATGTTTACATGACTAAACTCAGGGTTATGTTGGAAAAGCAATTGCCCCTTCCTTCTATGGAATTACCTTTTTTTGTACATTGCCCAAATTAAATCTTCCAATTCAACAAACATTTTTTGGGTGTCTGCTTTTTATATCATTTTATACCATGCATCCATTAATTAAGAATAGTAGACCGAATTATACATGCCCCCTTTAATTTTACTAGAAAGAAAGCCTATAGGCTATATATATTTACTACTAATAGATGTTTATCTTTTAGGTTGAAATTGAGCAAAGATTGGACACCTTATTAGACAGGTGTTCTTGAGCACCACTGACAACACGGTTCTGACAGTATTTCATGACAGTAAGTGTGTTTTACCATTTTGATTGTTAATTAGATTTAAACTGTAATTGGCTGGACACAAGATTATAACTGATTTATACTAGAGATGCCTGATAAAACCGAATGCCTTTCAAGTCTAGACAGGTAGTTACTCTGCTCGTTCCTCTTACTTCCTTATTGTCATTTATGTGTATATATTAAATGTTTCCCATGGGCCCCCAGGTGCTGTTGAGACTACAGAGTAGAAAGCTTGTCCCAGCTGTTAAGGGGCTGTCTGTGTAGCTGGTAGGGCTTAAGTTGAATTGAATACTCAGAGGATGGTTAGGTGCCAAATGGAAAATGCTGACTCTAAGTGCAGTAGAGGTGGAAAAAAGAGAGGTGTGAGCCTGGGTAGTAGGGAATGTCGTGGAGGGAGCCTGTAGGCTTCAAACTGAGCCTTAAAGTACAGGTGGGATTTGGATAATTTGAGGGTGTCACCAAAAGCAAAAGCCTGGAGGCAGGAATGAATAACTTATATTGAGGGGCGGGGGAGTAGTGGTGAATGGTTCAAGTGGAGATGTCACAGGATAATGTAATAAAGGAGATAACACTTGGCCCATCTGGATAGTTAGTTGTGGATCTGCTACTACTATGTATCTGTGACCTTGGGCATCACAACTGCTTTGAGCTGTGTTTGCTTCACTCCTAAAATGAAAGAACTACATCTGGTGATCTCTATATAAGGCACATTATAGTGCTAAGATTTTTATTATCCCGGAAGATAGAGAAGAGTAAGAAACAAGTTGAATTAGGATAAGTGGGGATCTGGTCACCCTAAAGCCATGAAAATGAGGTCTGGATTTGATATAGGAGGCCTTTAGGAACCTTTAGGAATAGGTTCAAGAGCTATAGAAACAGTGTTGTAGTGAGATTAGTCTTAAAACAATATGTTAAGATAGGTTGGTTATGTAGTAATCCAGTGGAAATAAGAATGGGAGGGCATATCCAGGAGACATTTTAAAGGAGATAATAGATGAGGTGGAGCTTGTAGGAGATGGAAGAACCTAAGATGATGTGGGTATATTTAGCCTGGCAGAGTGGAAGGGTATTATTCTTAATAGAATAGAATTGCAGTAGTTAAAAAGGAAGGTAAGTTTCATTTCCTAATATCTTAAATTTGCAGTGATGGGATGTTAGACATGTTCTACAGGCATGAGTTGCTTGAGTGGCAGGTAGGATATTGGTTGTAGATTGGGATTTAGCGTAGAAGTGACATTTAGTGAGTTCATTAAGAGAGTAAGGGAAGAAAGATAACGATAACCTTGGATAAAACTAATAATTGGGGAGAGGAATAAACCATGAAAGAATATTGCTGTGGTTATCAACAGAGGAGAGAATTCCAAGCATAAATGTGGGGCCACAAGTAGCCAGCACTGCAGAGAACAGTCAAGTAGGATGAAGATAAGATCAGTGGCAGCTTTTATTTATTTATTTATTTTGAAACAGAGTGTCGCTCTGTTGCCCTGGGTAGAGTGTAATGTGTGATCATAGCTCACTACAACCTTGAACTCCTGGGCTGAAGCGATCCTCCTGCCTTGGCCTCCTGAGTAGCTAGGACTGCAGGTGTGCACAACCCGCCCAGCTAATTTTTTCTACTTTTGGTAGAGATAGGGTCTCGCTCTCATTCAGGCTGGTCTCCAACTCTTGACCTCAAGCAATCCTCCCTCATTGGCCTCCCAGAGTGCTAGGATTACAGGTATAAGCCAGGTGGCACCTTTTAGGAGTGGTTTGACTACTGTGTTGGGGTTAAAAAGCTGTGCATTGTCGGGGGCATGGACATGCTTGAAGCTCTGACTCGGGGGAGGGAAGGCAATAACAATGTATGTAACCTTAACATTTGTACCCCCTTATTATGCTGAAATTAAAAAACAAAAAAACTTAATAACAACAACAACAAAAAAGCACATGTCAGGGAGTTTAAATAGGAATGAAGAGGTGTATATATAGTGACTGTCAGGGTAAGAATGATAGCTAGATAAGGTGTGGAACAGAATTAAGTTTTTATATATCTACATGTATACCTGTGAGTTTAATGAGGGAGACTAAGCATATTTAAGGAAGAGTGAAGAGGCTGGAAAGGAGGAGTGAAGATAAATTAGGGATGAGGAATCCTTGTCTTATTTCTTATCCTCAAAGAGGTAAAAGAAATGGGATCCAGAGAACAAGTGAAAGGATAAGTTATGGGAGTGAAAACTCTATCTGGAAAGAATGAAGAGAACTGTATTTGAAGGGAAATAATAATACTAGGTTCCATTTACTGAGTTCTATGTATTGTGCACTTTGCTAGGTGCTTTTTATATAATAACTTCTGAGAGCATCCCCATTTTAAAAATGGAGAAAAGAGGATGGTAAGTAACTTGTTCAAAGACATAGTAAGTGGCGAGCCAAGCTTAAAACTCAGGCAGTCTTTCCTAAGAGCCTGTGCTACTAACCACTGTCCAGTGTGTTTCTTAACAGTTTCACAAATTCTGTCCTTGTTTGAGGAGCTCCTTTAAGTGTTTTCAATATATAATCAATAGACTTAGAATTGAAGGGGGACAAATTACAGATTTAGGCTTAAAGACTGTATGAAAAACTACCGGGAATGAAACTTGTAAACTGGCATAGTACTTGGCTTCTGAGGCTCTAGATTTCAGTCCCGTTTACTGTGTCACCTTGGGCAAATCATTAGCCTCAGCCACCTCAATTTTCTCACCTGCTTCACAGGGTTTTGAACATTGCATGAGACATTTAGAAAGTGTTCAATAAATGTAAACATATTAAAAAGGGCACTATTTACTGTATTTGTGCAACAGATTATTAGCATAATTTAAATACTGCTACATTAAAAATAGAATAAAAATTTATCAGCTTAGCCAGCTGACCACTTATTCATATAATATTTTAGAGAACAATACTATCAGTTCAACTAAATAATTAGAATAATTATTAAAATTAATTTAATGGGATTTAACTACTCTTTGTCCATATTTGTCAATTCCCTTAGATCTAATGGTTCATCATTTTACCCATTCTCTTGTCATTATCCTATGTGCTTTTCCTTCTTTGTTGCCTAGATGAAATGCGGCACTTTAGCTTTTCTGTTGTCATACAGGCCTATAAGTGCCACACCTGGACATGTGGATGCCACTGTAAATGCATGGTCATCAACTTCAGCTAGGCTCTGTGGTGCCCAGCGTACATCTTCCTTTCCTCTCCAATGCTCTGGGAATCCCAGCATTATCCTTGGTCCTTCCTCTTGTCTGTTTAGTCACTCACTAGGTCCCAATGATTTTCCCTGTGAGAAAGCTCTCTAGTTGCTATGTTTCTCTGGATCTCCAGTGCCGTCATCCTGGACCCAATGCTGGGGTGATCATTATCTTGCCTGAATTCCTGCCCTAACTGTAGCATTATAATCTTCTCTAGTTTTCTGCCCTGTTCCTACTCCCCTCCAGCTCATTTTCTGTACTGAACTGTAGCCAGACTGATCTTTTAAAAAAAGATCTTCTGCTTAAAGCTCCTCTTTGATTTTCGCTTATCCACAAGGCACTGCTTGATCTAGCTCCTACTTGGCTCGTTCCAATCCACCAGTACTGTATTTCTTGTTTTTCTCTGCCTGGAACATTATTTTCCCAACTTTCTTTGCCTGACTGATTTCTGTTAATCTTCCAGTCTTAGTTTAAATGTCATTTCCTAAGATAGCCTTTCTTGGCCCCTCAGACTAGTGAGGTCCCTTTTGGAATAAGCTCACATAGCATGTAACAAAACATCTTTATTTATCTTAGTATTTGGCACTAGCAATTAGTTAATTATCTGTAATTATTGAATAGCTATATATAACATTTAATCAGTGCTCCCATTGTCCTTTGCTATCTTTATATGGATTATCTCCTAACCTGTACAGGAGCCCTGTGAGAGATTAAGTCCTGTTCTCATCCAGCTTGCTCAAGGTCTCACAGTCAGTAAGTAGCAGGGAATTCAAACTAGGGGATTCGATTCCAGAGCCTGTGCCCTGGAAGAACTAATAGGCTATGCTCTTTGCCCCCTCAGCCACCGCCTTAGGTTACATAACATTTGTCTTCTCTGCAAGCTGAGGACACAGACCTTGTGTGTGTTGTTGACAGCTGTGTGACCAGCACATAGCATGGCCATGATAAATATTAAGTACTCAGCCAGTAAATATTTGTTGGCTGCCTTACTTATGATCTACAATCTGTTTTATAAATTTTTTGTAGGAGGTTTTAGACCTACGGTATAACTAGCAAGTTTTTTTCCCATCATTCCTTATATATAGGATAATGGCTAGCATATTCTAAGCATCAAAGATTAAGCTTATTTATTGAATGAAAGATTCCAAGTGCCATGGAGCTTCAAAGAAGGGAACATTAGTTTTTGGATTGCAGAATGGGATAAATAAGAAAGATTCCAGAAGGAATCTGGGATTAAAGTCTAGGGTAGGATTTTTTTGTTTGTTTGTTTTTTGACTCTGTCGCCCCCGCTAGAGTGCTAGCGACATCATCATGGCTCACTGCAACCTCAAACTCCTGGGCTCAGGTGATCCTCTTGCCTCAGCCTCCCAAGTAGCTGGGACTACAGACTCCTACCATGATGCCCAACTAATTTTTTTCTATTTTTAGTAGAGATGAGGGGTCTCGCTCTTGATTAGGGTAGTCTCAAACTCCTGACTTTGAGCGATCCTCCCCCCTTGTCAGCCTCCCAGAGTCCTAGGATTACAGGCGTGAGCCACCACCTGGCCTACGGTGGGATTTTAATGATAGAAAGATGAGAGGAAGACAGAAGGTGTAAAATGACAAGAGCTAAAATTTAAGGAACAGAGACACATACAGTTAAGCAGATGATGTGCGGGTTCTCGTCAAAGGAGAGAGGATGCGATCGAATGTCTATGGGGTACGCTAAGTGCCAAGCTCTGCTCTTAGCAGCTTTCTAGTCTTTATTTAATTCTGACAACTCTATGAAATACTTCTTACCTTCATTTTTAGAAGACTGAGGTTTAGAGAAGCTAATGCTATTAGTGCAAATGATAATCCTGCTGCTAATTCCAGTGCATGACAAGAGAATATGATTTAAACTTTTTGCCTTTAATACTTTTTTTGTGTTATATTTAGAAATTAATTCATCTCCCAGACCCACCTTGGTATTTGAACAGTGTCCTACTCATCAGCTAATTTGAAAAAAGACTTATGGTATCCTGTGAACATTTCATTTAGAAAAGAATTTCTATTATTGCCTCCCCTCTCAACCCCCTAGAAAGCTTTGTTTTCATTTGTAGGTTTGTAAACAACCACCTTGGTCCTTCTCCTGCACCTTGATCTTCACCATAGGTCATTGTAAAAACTAGTCAACTCACAACTATCCTAATTGATCATTCTTTCATGGCTAATAAATCCATCGTTATATCCATTAAAGGCTGATCTCCTAGTATCTTCTTGTTAGCATTTTAAGATCAAGATATGAATAGCATTTTATATTTGGGCAGTGTTTCACGTTCATTTACATTAGTTTAAGATGTGGAGGGTAGTATTGATATTTCCGTTTTACTCAGTACATTTAACTTGCAGGGATGCATGTTTTCAGGGGATTAATAGGAGAGTCAGAATCAGGTTACTGACTTTGTCATTTACTGCTTACAGGCTCCTTAAACATATTAGTAGGTATCCTGTGCTTTGATTATTAAAGGTATATGAATTCTGTTTTCTACCCCTTAAAACAACTACAAATTATGGAAATGTATCTATATCTACAATTAAATTAGACATAATAGTCAACAGATGCATGAAAGAAATGCCATGTTATTAAAGACGTGGAAACTAGCCCAGTATTTTAATATGAGATAAAAATCCAACAGAGATGGAGGAGAAGACATGTTATACAAGGACTAAAATTTTGCAATTAATAACATTAAGTTTGTGCTGGGTCCTGGGCCTTAATAAAGGATTAAGTGTCTCTTTGTTCCACCTGAAAGTATGTATGAATTATACTTAATTTTTACTGCACTTTTTATTGAGATAATACATTTTAAATTTTTTACTCACAGATAGCCAGTCCCCTATTGTTTTGAATAGTATTAATAGTATTTGCAAAGCAGGTCTTCCTGGATCTGCCATATTGGTGAAATTGAATGGAGCCAGTTCAGGGCTTATGAGCTACTTTTTTCTTGATTTTCCCTCAGAATTATTTTAGCTCTAAGCAAAATTAATTAGGCAGACTTCTTTGAAAATAGTCACTTTAACTCTCTTATCTATGGTTATAATTTTCCTATCTTTATATGCAGATCTCTAATCTTCCTGACCCCTTTTTTTTTCTTTAAAGAATCTAAAATTTTGGGGGGGTAAGGGCAAGAGAAAAATTAGCCTTTGACTAGAATCAGAGGAAATGGACCCATTAAAAACATGGGTGTACTTTTGGGTTGCATGGGTATGGAATTGTGCAGGAGATCTACATGTTTCCTATACCAAGTGACAGTTTGAACAGAGACATCATCTATTTTGGAATTTCTGTAGGATAGCAGAGGAATTTTGAAGCAGGAGCAAAAGAGTTTGCATAGGAAAATCAGGCTTTAGCAGGAGAGCTGAAAGTGATGGTATAAGTGATTTCCATTTGACTACTAAGCTGATTTTTTTTTAGAGACAGGGTCTCACTATGTTGCCTAGGCTGGTCTTAAACTCCTGAGCTCAAGCCATTCTCCTGCCTCAGCCTCCCTAGTAGCTGAGATTACAGGCACATGCCACTGCACCTGACTTTACTAAGCTGATTTTGGCTTTTATTGTCATTCTTTGGATAAATTAGGTTGTAAGTCAAGGTTGCTTGTATGTACTATATTTGGAGATGATGCAGTCGAAAAGAAAGGCATATGTTTTAGTTTCATTTCCTTATTTTGTTTCCCTGTTGGTCTTATGCTTTTCACTTATGGAAGATGGATAGGAAAATCTTGAATAGTTGGCAAATTATGGAAAAGTTTCCAAATCAAGAAATATAAATGTTTTCTTTTAGTAAGCTAAAGCTATGAAAAATGTAATTGACTCACCCTGTGACAGTTTGTGAGCATTGCATCTATTCTGTTAGTACAACTTTTATTGAAGAGTACTGAAAAGCTGTTTTTCCTCATAGATGGATGGTGACAGTTCTACAACAGATGCTTCTCAACTAGGAATCTCTGCAGACTATATTGGAGGAAGTCATTATGTTATACAGCCTCATGATGGTAAGAAAGCCACAATTAGAACCAAATTCACAAGTAGAAACAAGTTAGAAAGTGGAAACGTTATTAATATAATGTTCTAGGTTACTTTTGTCTTTATAGGAAAATTAGCAGCAATCTTGTGTCTAAAAAGGCATTCCATGTTATTTTTATTAGAAATAGTATTTAAAAGAGTGATGAATCCTATAAAAGAACTTTGTTATAAAAATATGCTTTTTTAAAAAACTTGTATAGTTTCTTTTAAAATTTGTTACTAATTTCCTATGTAAGTACTAAATATGAGAAATTCTTAATCAGTTGAAATAGTAAATGAAATAGTTCTTTAGAGGGTGAGTTAAATAGCTAGCTATTATATTTCTCATACTTATATACAGATTTAATTTTGTTTTTCATTCAGTATTAACTTTGAACTATGTCAGGTATTAGACTGGCAGTATTACGTTAGCCTATCAAAAATAATTTTGTGGCATTTTGATTTGTAAAATTATAAAACAATTTCAGATATATTTTTTAGAAGGCACCCATGGGGGATGGGGGGATTGGTTATTTCATCCTAAAAATCATATTCAAGTAAATTAGTTTCGATAACATCATTTTAAATACATAAAAATGCAAATTGAATTAAGTGACTTGCTTATATATTTAGTACATATAAAGAGTGGAAACTTTACAAGATACTGCATTTGGTCATAAAAGGATGTTACTAGTACTTTGAAAGCTTCAGTTATATCTAAATCTATATAATTTGAAAATTCACTTTTTATAAGAATAGTTGGATCTCTACTGTAGCTTTGTTGAAAAACTAGTTACTACATTAGTAATCCAACTGGGTCAGTAATATTCAATTCTACCTTTTCTATTCTATATAGAATTTTATATAAACTAGTTTATATAAATCTTAAAGTTTTCTATTTTTACATAAACAAGTTTATATAAACTTGGCTTTGGCTAAACATATAACCTCTCAATCCAGCAATATTTAAAGAGGCATAGGTTACCATCTGAAAGTAAGTTTTATATAGCTAAGTCATGCAGTAAATACTTGTGGACACCTGCTCTGTGGAAGGTGCTATATCTATTCCTAGGAAACACAAAGCTGATCCCTGGCAATAAGGAGCAAAAATCTAATAGGGGAAATGAGAATTTAAAAGAGTTATAAGGTGTGTCAGAGCCAAGGCACAGAGAAGCACTTGTAGTATTTGATGAAAGGAAAGATCACTTTTGAAGGTACTCTGGAGATCTTATTTGGAGAATGGGTAGGTAGGATTTTAGAAGGCATAGTTGAAGATAAAAGAATTCTAAGCAGTGGGTTTGAAATTAATAAGTTCAGTTCTGTCCCTGTGAAAATTGTGAAAATAATTTTTATCCTAATCTCTAAAAAGGATTAGGAAGGGAACCAGAATGGTTGTTATTCTAGGTAGTTTTGGGTAGTCTTTTTCTATCTTAAAATAAAAATTACAAGAATGTTTAAACCTAAATATTTTTATTTCTTTAGATACTGAGGACAGCATGAATGATCATGAAGACACAAATGGTTCAAAAGAAAGTTTTAGAGAACAAGATATATATCTTCCAATTGCAAATGTGGCTAGGATAATGAAAAATGCCATACCTCAAACGGGAAAGGTAACGTAGAGGAGAAATTTAACTAGATTTTTTGGGGAAACTGTAAAACCGTGAATATACAATTCAAGAATATAATTAGTATTGATTCCATCATTCAGCCTTTCAGCAAATCAAATATTTCTTTCATTTCTACATATTCAGTGACTGAACAGTGTTTCATTTTCAGTTCTTAGTCTCCAAATGGTCCCCATTCCCCACTTATCAGAAGCAGATAAAATAGAATCAAGAATCCTTTTTAAAGTAGGTACATCGTCAGACCTATCAGGTTTGGGCATAGGAAGTTACAATTTCTATAATGTTGCAGGAAATTTAGGTCTTATTGGACTGATAAAGATGTGGTAAGGATTTTCTCAAAAAAAATCCTGCTATTTAGAAATAGCTATTTTTACATAATTGTAGATATTAACATTTCAACTGGTCTGGTTTTTTAAGTGGTTTGTCTTAGAACAACTTTTAAAAACTCATTGTCGGCCGGGCGCTGTGGCTCACGCCTGTAATCCTAGCTCTTGGGAGGCCGAGGCGGGCGGATTGCTCAAGGTCAGGAGTTCAAAACCAGCCTGAGCAAGAGCGAGACCCCATCTCTACTATAAATAGAAAGAAATTAATTGGCCAACTGATATATATATAAAAAATTAGCCGGGCATGGTGGCGCATGCCTGTAGTCCAGCTACTCGGGAGGCTGAGGCAGAAGGATCACTCAAGCCCAGGAGTTTGAGGTTGCTGTGAGCTAGGCTGACGCCACGGCACTCACTCTAGCCTGGACAACAAAGTGAGACTCTGTCTCAAAAAAAAAAAAAAAAAAAAAAACTCATTGTCACTACTCTATCACTTGGTCTGAAAAGTCACACTTTTTATATCATGTTATATTGCATAGTAACCTTTCTGTTATTTTAGTATAGCTTATAAAAATACTCATGAAAAGGCTTACCAATAAAGGTACTATTAAAATAATCATTAAGCCTGAAGTTCTAATATGAGAAGTCCTCCTTATGTTTTAAGGGAACAAAAGTGTAGCTGCTGATTATTGCTTCCCACAGGCTAAGGCCTACACTGTGCAGTTCTGTAGCCACTAGCCATGTGCTGTGGAATACTTGACATGTGGCCAGTGTGAATTGAGATGTGTTGTAAATACAAAGCACACCAGATTTTGAAGGTTTAGTATGAAGAAAAGAATTAAAGTACTTCATTTTAAAATTGATTCTGTGTTTAAATGATAATAATTTGGATATATTGGGTTAAGTAGAATATATTAGTAAAATGAATTTGACTTCTTTTTTCTCACATGGCTACTAGAAAATCTAAAATTATATACATGGCTCACATTATATTCTCTTGCATGACTGCATTTATGCAACTCTTATTTACTTTCTACAGTATGTAAATTAGGCATGGAGGTGAAAGACAATGTGTTGTAGCAAGGATTTTGAGTGGCGTTCCTGCTATAAGTATCTCTGGAATTGCATCAGTCCATTAGAGTTTGAATTTTAGACCCCAGACCCTTAAGGGAAGAAATTTTTTTAAATATAATCCAGGTGGCAGGTACATGCTTCTTTAGGCAGGCTTTTTAGTAAACTCAAAACCTGTACCTGACACTGTGTATCCTCAATAATAAAAAGTCAAAAATCCCATATGTCATTATTTCAGTCTTTTTCTAAGCCTTATGTGAATTTAGTTTTTTGAGTTTTTATTTATTTTTTTGTTTTGTTTTTTATTTTCCGGTGTTCTTATTCACGAAATGCTAGAGTAGAGAAGTGGTACCTACAACTGTAGCCCACGGTATATAGACAATGGGATTGATTTTCCAGAGGCACTGGTTAGTAAGAGTTTACATTTTGTTTGGGATGGTAGGAACATTCAGTGATTGCTCTTTTGTATCTAAGTAATATTCATTTTCTGTGAATAGTTGTCAAAGCTTCTCTCTCATGTATTCAGGTTTTTATTATTACTCTGAGGGTTGGAATTTTGATAGAAAACATTGTGTAATGTTATTAGCATGTATTTCAGAGATTAAAAATTAAGTCATAAACTGAACGTGTTCTTCTGAATAGCATTTTATTTTTGCAGGTTGTTAGGAAGGTGATAGTTCTATTCCCTGCAAATTTACCTAGGGTTTTTCTCTTCAGATTGCAAAAGATGCCAAAGAATGTGTTCAAGAATGTGTAAGTGAGTTCATCAGCTTTATAACATCTGAAGCCAGTGAAAGATGCCATCAAGAGAAACGGAAAACAATCAATGGAGAGGATATTCTCTTTGCCATGTCTACCTTAGGCTTCGACAGTTATGTGGAACCTCTGAAATTATACCTTCAGAAATTCAGAGAGGTAAATAAAATGTCTCCCATTATGCTTTTAAGAACATAAGATACACTATTCATTGCAACTTTTAAAATATATTATTTGTTTAAAAAATTCATTTTGTATCAAATTATGTAATATTTAGAAGTATTTAATTACTTATATTACAGTACTTATGTAGTAAGTCCTTTCTTCCTTTGTTTATTACTAACTACAGCACAGTTATGTAAGGGTTAAGAGCATGAACTCTGGATTCCGACTCTCTGGAGGTGGAATCCCAGTTCCACTACATGCAAAGTCTGTGACCTTGTGCAGATTATTTAAGTACATTAGGACTTGGGTTTCTTCATCTGTAAAGTGAGGCTAATAGTACCTATGTCACAGAATTGAGAGGACTTAAGTAAATAATGTTAAATGCTCATTAATGTTACTTATTGCTATTATTGTTGTTAATTTAAAAGAGGTAGCATCGCTAAGCTTGGGGCCTTTGAGATAATAAAAAGAAGTTGTAACCATATTACTTTCTTATTATTGATTGAATTCTACTTCCTATTACGTTTATCTTTGCCTGTAGGTATGAATTTTATGAAAATGAGTTGAGTTCAGCATATATGTTTCCATACTCCAGCTTGGGTGTCAGATTACATTGCTTTCAAAATATATTCTTAATAGCTTCATTGTTAGAATCCCATTAAATTAGTGATATCTGCATGAAATAATTGAAGTAGGAAGAGAGTATGTAAACTCTTCACATTTCTAAATCTGTAGTAGTATCATAGAACCTTAAAGTGGGTGGAACCTTAGAGGTAGTTGGTCCAAATTGTAATTTTAATTTAGGAATTTTTAACTCTCAACTTGCTGCTGTAGTACTGCCCTGTTGCCTGAGAGCCAATGTATATACTTAGTGATAACTTGAGTAATTTGTAGTAAATTTATAAGCTGAATATTTATGGTATTTTGCAGACTTCTTCATCTGTAAGTAGAGTTCTCTGATCCCTTTGATATGGTGTGGAATTAGAAAAATTATTTTTATCCATAAATACTTTAGGTTTTCTAGGTCATTACTAACACTCTTTTAATGATTACTACTATACAAATTTAGCATTTGGAAGGCCTCTTCATATGTAATTAACCAGAAGTGTTAATAAATACTTTGCTCAGTGTTTATAATAATAGAAGCTCCTAATTTTAGGCAATAAGTAAGCATTCTCATTTGGAAGACAATTTCATTTGAATACCAGTGACTTTCAGGGGTTTTGTTTTCCTTCCCCAGGCTATGAAAGGGGAAAAGGGGGTTGGTGGAGCAGTCACAGCTACAGATGGACTAAGTGAAGAGCTCACAGAGGAGGCATTTAGTAAGTGGTGTTATGGTACAAGTTGTATAGATTGTTAGCAATGATTCATGCTAAATATCTGTAGTGGTGTTTTTGGAATATCAGCGCTGAGTTATTTGACATAGCACTATTATTTCATTTTTATTTATGTATTTATTTTTAAGACAGTCTCACTCTGTCACCGTGGGTAGAGTGCAGTGGCGTGATCATACCTCACTACAATCTCAAACTTCTGGGCTCAAGTGATCCTCCCACCTCGGCCTCCCAGACTGTTGGGCTTATTGGTGTGAACACTGTGCCTGGCCTAACATAGCATTATTTTAAATAGTTCTTATTAGTTCACCCCTTATATTTAAAGTCAGTGAGTGATGAGTATAAAACATTTTAATTCTGCAGACATTACAACCTTTCATCGATAGTTCCAACTAATTTACATATAGTCCCTAACTTTTGGTGAAGATTCATGTGAGATAGGAATATTGAAGATTGTAGTTTGTAATATAAAATCTTGTGATTCAAATAAATTTGAACTCAAGGTTTCTTTTCCTGTAGATTTATACACATGAGCAATTAGCTAAAGTATACGTTAGAGATATGAAAATTCAAAAAATTAGAAAATTCAATAGAAAAAATGTGCTTTTTAGGGAAGTTTTTTAAAAATGGAAAATTGGGAGGGGTGTGATTTTCCCCAAGATTACATCATTGATAAGTGGCAGACTTATAATGAGACATTAATAGCACACCTTTAAGGTTTTGCCCAAGAAGGTAGATGTAGTTCTTTTCCTGCTTTTACATTTTTTTTTTTTGTCTTTTAGCTAACCAGTTACCAGCTGGCTTAATAACCACAGATGGTCAACAACAAAATGTTATGGTTTACACAACATCATATCAACAGGTACTGTACCTTCTTTGTATTTTAAACTATTTTAAAATTTGATTATATCCTTTGATTTTTGTCACAGGTAGTTAATTTCAACACATTATTATTAAGGATGTGATAGAATAAGATTATTAAAAATTGTTTTCTCAAAATATACAACTGTATATAGTATTCTCTTAATGGTTAAAAATATATACACACATTTGTATTTATATAGAAGACTTCTAGAAAGATAAAGAAATTTTTAAAGTAGCTCCCTTGAGTAGAGGGATTGGAGATATGGGTGGGAAGTAGCCTTATTTTTCACTGCTATTGTTTGTATTCACTGAATGTTTATAACCTACATATGTTGCTTTTAACCTATTTTTTTCTTTAATTCTGCTGAATTTAAATTTTCTAATCTTAGATTTCTGGTGTTCAACAAATTCAGTTTTCATGATCTGAAGAAATGGAATGGAGAGTGTGGAGAAGTGAGAGTCTGTATGATTCTGGAGCAGAGACATCAGAAGGAAATGACTGGTGAAAAGATGTCTCTTTGTACATTAATAGCTGTAATGTAGCTTCCTGATGCTTGACTAATTGAGGTGTTAATTCTGACTTGAGAATCTTTTTCATGAATGATTTTAAAGAAAAATTTGGATTTTAAAGGTATTAAAGTATTTTTGTTTTGTACGAGAGTTTGTTGCTCTGTATGACTCCTGTATGCATTGTATATTGCAATTTATTACTGTCAGAGATTTGTAGACAGTTTCTTATTTTCATATTGAATCATGTTACTTTTGTAATTCACGTAAGCAGCTGGGTTAATTCATGATGTTTGCCCTTTTAATAAAATATAAGGGTAGAGTTCATTTTGAATGCAAGTTGCCTTTATTATAAATTTGAGTTTGTCTTGGTTATATATCTTGCATGATAACCTAACTAGATTTTTAGCATTTGCCATATTTATTAAAAAAGATTTTTTTTTTGGTGAAACATCCATAGCTTAAGCAGCACCATTTTTTAAAAAATGTAATTGAATAAGTGTGAATGCAGAAGCAAATATTGTCTACCCTATTAAAGTTGGTGCCCATTTAACAGTGTTTACACTGTCCATTGTGCCTGTTAACGTAGTTTTAGTTATTGGAGCTTTTGTTAAGACTAGATAGATTTGGTTTTGAGTTACATTGTTATGAGTGTTGGAATTCATCTAAGTTTAATGTAGTCCCAGTGCTCTTGAAATGGTGCCCCTTTCATTTGGAATACGATTTTTTTCAAAGCATATCTTCAAGTATGATAGTATCCTCTTTCAGAAGAGGAATTTTAGTCTGATGGTAAATGTCTTTATTTTACCTTTTTAATTGAAATGTCAAGTTTCCTATTTTACTATGGAAACCAAGAAACGTCAGACATCATTGTGTGTCAGACCTTTGGCATGGGTGAGTGAATGAGATGCAGGCCAGAGTGAGTGCTTTGAATGGGGTGAAATAAAAGCCTCCGGCTCCTAGCTGTCTTGATCTTTGCAATAAACTAAACTTAGATAATGTACTTTGTATAATTTAGTAGTATGTACTTGGGTTGTTTCTTTTTTAAAGTGAAAATTTGTATTTTCTCGTCTATGCTTTTTTTTTTAAGTTTTAATATCAAAAATTGCTATTGTATAGTTTGCCTAAAAGGAAGTTTGAGTGAATGTCATATTTGAACGACACTCAAATTTGTAAGGTAGAAGCAATTTCCCAGATACAGGCTGAACAGAAACATTTAGTTTGCCAGAAGGAGCCTTTGGGGGCATATTTGGGCTAATCTAAGGTTAGTAACTCCCTCTCCTCCTATCCCTCATTTAAAAAATAATCTCTATTATAGAAAATTCAAATAGGAAAAAAAAGGGGGGAGAGTAGTTAAGCAAAATCAACAATCATCCTACTGTGTTGAAATAACTGTTAATATTTTGATATATATCATTTGTCCTTTTACTTTGCGAAATATGTATATTTTTATAAAAATGGGCTCATATTGTGCATACTGTTTTGTAACCTGCTTTTTTCACTTAACAATATATTTTGAACATCTTTCCCAGGTCATGCATAGTCTTTTGCATCATTCTTATTGGTTTGTTTTGTTGTATGACTGAATCATAATTTATTTAATCTTCTATTGGACATTTTGACTATTTACATCTTTTCAGTTATAAACAACACTTCACTGAATCTTGTGTACATCCATGACTGTTTTCTTAAATTCTTAGAAGAATTGCTATTTACCAGATATGCAAAATTTTAAGGCTTTTGATACTTACATATGGGTATATTTTGTGAAATGTCTTCCACTTGATCCAGGCAGTATGCCACTATATTACTGATAAAAGCACTTGGTCTTTGGTTACCAGATTCCTTCTCTAAAATTTGTTTAAAGATTTGGTTATGTTTAAGTAAAAAGATTAAGGAATTTGACAATTTTAAAATTTCTATCAGTGTATACCAAAACAAATTTCTAAACTTAATAATTTGCTAGTAGTACTAACTAAAACTTTATACTAAGTAACATCAGATCACCTTTGGGTTATATGGACTTCATACTCGGAGGGGAAAGAAAATTGACATTCTGCATGTGTCAGGGACACATTATGCATGTGAGAATTGGTGTTGGTGTCTCACTTGGCCCATGTTGCATTTAATTGAATGTCACATTTTCTGCCCTAGAACATCTTAAGTATGCAAGCTCCTATGTTAACCTAAAAATGTTTTTTATAATTGTATAAATATTGCTTTATGAATACCTAAGAGAGAAGTGGGTCTCAGTGAGTACTAAATCCTAGGTAGAAGAAGGGACTTTAGTAGTTTCTATCTATCTGTCCCCTTACTTCCTCTATTATGGAGATACTTTAGTTCAGAGAGGATTATTTTTTAAAATGCTAACTTCCTAAAGTCATATACTTTGATAAGATGGTGTCTGAAACTATTTGTATTTCTTTTCTTCCTACAGTGTAATATCTATGCAGTGTTTTCCTTTTTTCAAAAATATGCCTTATTGCTTGTTTTCTGGGTTGCCTGAGTGGTCTAAAGGAAAACCAGTTACCTTTAATAATTCTAATGGAATGTAGTTATGAGGGCCAAACTAAACAGATTTCTACAGCTATAGCAATTAGGCATGAAAAGTGAAAAAAAAATAGTTTTTACCATTTGCCAAGAATGAAATCTTGCAATGTAAGATTTTTAAAAAATATTTTTTCTCTTAACAAAGTTGTTATTTTATCTTCAATCCAAAACAAGATGATGTTTGTTGCTTTGTGTGGTAAAATATACCTTAAGTCACTCGAATAAGTGATATTGGGTAATGTCTATACCAAAAACTAGTCGATTTTAAATGCATATCCCCAGTCTCCCTGAATTAGGCAACTTACATGTTAATTTATGTAACTTAATAATTTATATATATTACCCTTAAGTTCATATTAAGTTTATCATATAGTGTGCTTATGAGTAAAAACTGGAACTACCTAACTTTGTTTTTCAAGTAGCTGTACTATACTGTCTGAAAAATACTCAGTTTTAATTTGTAGTTTCTTTTAGAACTGAAAATGTTACCTTTGCTTATTTCACCAAATTTAGCTCCCTCCGTCTGCTCTAGCACCCTGATCACATCTTGGCTCCTTATGCCAAGTTCTTTGCCTCTCCCCATCTGCCTGGCATGGCCTTAAACACATGTACTTCCCTCTGCCTAGCTAAGTCCCACTCATCCTTCAGGTCTCAGCTTCATCAGAAAAGATTTCCAAACATTTGTAAAAACTTTGTACTAATCACCAAATATAGAGAATAACATCACCCAAAACTGAGTAGGTGTGTATTACAGCCTTTATATAGACTGGTTGCTGTAGCCCCTTAGATATTTCTTTCAAGACTGTGCTGCTTTTTATACCCAGTTTTAAGTAAACCATAAGGCAGAATCCCTTCAAGTCTCAGGTCACAGATGGCACTGGGATAGATTCATTTCTCTGGCGTCTGGCCATTGCTTTTAAAGATACAAACTTGCCTAATATTACAGTTATAGCTTTCCCTCACCTTCCTCCAGGGACTGTTCCATTTTGCACTGCATATTAAAGAAATACCTGTGCAAAGCAATGTACTGTAAGAACGTCTTTGCCAAAGTTAATGCCAACAAGTGTGTCAAGTAGGAATAAAATCGTAAAATATGTGCTGGCACTATCTGTAGAAACTTAATGGCCATGTATTGGTTTTGTGGTGCAAATTACACGTTAACAGGTAATTCTTCCATCTTCCAGAAAAATATACTGAGATTATAAAATTCTGACACTGTGGCATAAAATTTTGCCTCTTTAAGGTATAATTTAGGTCTTCCTGATTGTCCTCAAAGAGCAAGCATTAATAGGTTTATGTCTTACTTTTGCACCTGTTTTCCAGGATTCAATTTCAGAGTACGTCTCTGAATGAAAGAAATTTCTGAATCTTGAACACTGGGTAGTTGGTTGAAAAGTTGCTGGGCAAAGACAAGTCATAACACAAAGTGCCTTTCAGCCAAGACAGGTATGCCAAGGAGGTTCATTCATGTGTATATAATCCCCAATATTAGGTTTACAGGAAACCAAATCCAAATTCTTTTTTCAGACCAAAGCAATCATTAATCAAAGAACACAAAGGAGTAATGTTTGGGCCATTTAAGGAAATGGCAGAGCCATTCCTTTGGAGGAGGTATGTATCTTTACAAAACGGTTTCTTTCTGCACATTTCCAACCTTGCAAGTAGTAGTCCCCATACCATCAAAGTGCTATCTTGAAAAACAGTACTAAGGAGAGAACCAGGCATCTTGTAATTCTGCATCGGCCACACAGCACCATGTCTCCTACTCATGTAAAGGGCAAACTAAAATTTTAGTCTAGACTTCATTTCCAAGAGTAAAGACAGCCTAATTACCCTAACAACTCCCAGTTTAAAAAAAAAACCCAAAAACATATAAGAAATAACATAAAATAATAGAAAGTTAATTAAATAATATAAAATATCTTTTTAAATGTATCACTGAGTTGACATGAAAGTAAGGAATTTGCAGAACTCCAAAACATGAAGTGAAAATAGGAAACCTGTGAGAGAAGCCAGCATCAAAGCCTGCTTTTGCCACGAGAGTTCTTTTGAACTCTTAAGTTCTTGAGCTAGCAGTAGAGGGTGGCCTGGACATAGAGCTTAAGGCTTACCTAGGCTGAAGTTTTAATAGGGTCACAACAGAGAAGTAGGAAGCAAGGAAGTTTGTCTGCCTCAATTTTAGTGCCAGATGAAGGGGGATAAATCACCACTGACCTCACATTCATAACCACAGGCCTTTCCTCAAGATTTGTCATCTGAAATCACAGAACCGTCAGCTGATAATTTAAGGTGGTATCAGGTTGGTTGCCCCTGGATGTCTAGCAGAGTAAATAAATTCTCTCAAGGATCTCAATTTCAGGCCATGCTTCAAATGATTTGCCAAGGAAAACAAGTTTAAGATATCATGAACTCGAGGGAAAATGACACCATGAGGGAGACACAAAATGTATAACAGACAATAGAATCATCCACAAAAACTCAACATTGGTATTAACATGGGGAAAAAAATGATGTTTAAAGAAATGGAATAAGGAACAAAAGATTACACAGAAAACAAATGAGATTTATAAGCCAAATAGAACTTGCAATAAAAAACATATAATTGAAAATTAAAACTCAACAAAGAGAAGAAAAAATAAGAAAATGAAAAAAAGAAGGCAAGAAGGGGGAGTAGACCAAAAAAAGGCCACATAATTTATGATGAAGACCTAGAAATAAATCTAATGATATTTATAATCACAATAAATATAAGTAGACTAGATCCAGTTTAAAAGGCAGATTTTCTTTGGCTTTATCTTTTAGGTTTGTCTCCTGCAAACTCAACAAAAGGCCAAAGAAAGAACTAATATATACCTGAAAAAGACTAACCAAACTATTGGTATAGTAAGAAACAACAACAAAAAAGATGAAGGCAACAAGCATTCACAGAGATAGTCAATACATAATTATAAAAAGTTCATTTCACCAGGGAAGATAAAATAATTCTAAAATATTACATACTAATAATACTACCAGTATGCATCTAGTAATAAAGCCAAAAGAAAAAAAAAAAAGCAAATATTGGCAACTTAAAAAGAAATTGAGAAAACAATCTATTATCATAATGAAATCTTGAGACCAGTAAATAAATCAAGTACAGGATAAATCAGTAAAGAGAAGCTCTTTATAGCACAACTAACAAGTTTGATTTAATGGAGACTTACATAACGTTACACTCAACTCTTAGGTAATACACATTCATTTTCAGTATACACAGAACATATATGAAACTGACCACAAGATAGGACATAAAGCTAGTCTTATTTCAGAAAAATGAAATCTTACAGATTGTATTCTCTGGCAAGTGATAAAGGGGTCAACTACAGATCCTGTGGAAATGGAAACAATACCAGAATAATATGGACAGCTTTGTATAAAAAAATTAAGATTAACTGGAAAAACCCCTAGAAAAATGTATTAAGTTTAACAACACTGACTCAAGAATAACAAAATCCTAATGATCCTATAACCTTAAAGAAACTAAATAGTTTAAAATCTTCCATTAATGACCAAATGGCTTTAAAGACTAGTTCCAAACTTAAACTCTTCCAGGACTCTAGAGGCAAGCCAGGATTGATCCCAGGAGTTGGAGGTTACAGTGAACTATGATTGTGCCACTGCACTCTAACCTGGGCAACAGAGCAAGACTCTGTCTTTAAAATAGGTTAAAGGAGAAAACAGTCATTTAAATTGATGCAGGAAAAAGTCTTCAATAAAATGCAACATCTATTCATAATACAACTATTAGCAACTTAGAACTTCCTTAAACTGGTAAAGGCCATGTATGAAAAAAACTCTGAACAGTGAAATGTTAAAACAAAAACATTTCCTTTAAATTAAGATTAAGACAAAGATGTTCACTATCAGTTTTCATCAACATTGCTGTACAGGTCCCACCCAGTACAGAAATATAAGAAAAAAATTTTTTTAAAGTATAAGGATCAGAAAATTGCCATTATTTGCAGATGATATGATAAAAACTCAAAGAACATCTAGATACATTGTTAGAACTTTAAAAAGTTTAGGCCAGGTATGGTGGCTCACGCCTGTAATCCTAGCACTCTAGGAGGCAG